TATTATTATTATTATTATTATTATCTCTGTAAACATACAAATTTGTTACTTAAGATTCTTTTCTGTTGATAGTGAGTGTCGAGAGTAAACGAGTCCTTGTATTGCTGAGCCATAATATTCGTACCTCAAACGCGACGGTCTTTAGTTCCAGTCTTCGGGAAGGGTGTTATTGTCGTTGTTGTTGTTGTTGTTGTTGTTGTTGTTGTTGTTGTTGTTGTTGTTGTTGTTGTTGTTGTTGTTGTTGTCGCTATCGTTTTTGTTGTTGTTATTGCTGCTGTTGCTGTTGTGGTTGTTATGGTTGTTGTTGTTTTTCGTTTTTTAATAGGGAAGGAAGAGAGGGTGCTGGAAGGAACAGGAGTGGTTGCGATTAGAGTGAGAGGGGGAGGGGGAAGTGGGGCGAGGACGGATGTAGTCTTTGAAGGCGGTGCTTAGTGCTTGCATTTGTCCTTGACGTTGAAATTTCCGAAAACCCGAGGGGAAGGGTTGTGAAACGTGAACTGCAGCAAAGCATAAACTCTGCGTGAGAAAGTGAAACAATGCGAGAGACGTGTGTTTAATACTCAAGCCCTATTTACTTGTCGCGCAACAGACGAGGCGCTGATTGGAATACGATACAACACTCGGCTATAAACATTTTGGCACCAGCATTAGCGCTCAATCGTGCCTCCGGGACTGACAGGGAAAATAAATGTCACCTGACGGTTCTTGTTAATGCTGATTTAACTCTTCTTACACCAAATTAATGGTCAGTATGCCGAGGTTTCTATAAATAAGGGAGTACGGCTCTAATTTTAATGGCAATCCGGCGTGTGACAGTTAAAAACCACAGCGTAGTGGATTGAATAACGCTTCTCAAGGTTATTTTTATTTCAACGTAGAGTGGTGTCGCTCACACACTCTTCCTCTCTCTCTCTCTCTCTCTCTCTCTCTCTCTCTCTCTCTCTCTCTCTCTTTCTCTCTCTCTCTCTCTCTCTCTGTCTCTGTCTTTCTCTCTCTCTGTCTCTCTCTCTGTGTCTCTCTCTGTCTCTCTCTCTGTCTCTCTCTCACTCTCCCTCTCTCTCTGTCTCCCTCTCTCTCGTTCCGTTCTTCTTTATCCTTTCACCGTTTGCCAATCCTCTGTGTTCTCAATAATACAAGATTTTCAGCTTAGTCGGGTGGTCTAACAAACTTTTCTACCAGTCGATTCGAAACACAGAAATAACTAATAAATACAAATATAAGCTTTATCCTTCCGTTCAAAGTTTACGTGACCAGGTGCTCATGTATGGAGTGTTGTGCTATGTGTGGGCCACCCTGACATCATGCACGATAGATGCTTTTAACTTAAACCTATTCTAAGAAAGAGGGGAGAAGGGAGCGAAATTTACATTCACCAAATAACATAAGCTTGATAAGAAGGGCGAGCTTAATTTTCCCCGTAAGAGCCCGTGGAACTGCTTTCCAAAGTATGTACGATCTGTTGAATCCTTTGATATCGAACACAAAAGCAGTTTTCAAACGAATCCACTTACCGTTTTTCAAGCAGTATCTTGGGTGTTTACTTTCCTTGACAGATTGCTGTACACGAAAAGACATCGGGGGGAAAGGGCATTTGTCACACTAAAAAAAAGGTTGGAGTTCCGCTGCTGTTTTTTCCATGCATATTTGTTTTAAATAGTGATATGTCACTCGTGCCCAGCTACAGCCACTTTTAAGTAAGTTTAGTTTTAGTAAAGTTTTACGGCGCTCGCAACAGCATAAGGTCATTATGAGCGCCAAGGGGTGGATGTCAATAGAGAAACCCAATCTGGGAATCAGGTCTGCTCTGCTCTGCTCACCTCTTTAGCCTCGACTATCAAGGCACCCCGGTAATATCAGTTCGCAAAAGAGTGACAAACATACAAAAGAAACAGAGGCAAAATGACAATAGTAAGGATTAGGAAAGAAAAAGCAGCGGTTCTCCCTATGTTGTTCCGGCACAGTATGAGCATGACATTAATAAATCAGCCCATTTACAATTCTACTGTGCTTAAGAAC